GAGCTGGCAGGCTTCATGGCCACAGCAAGGGCCACCATCCCTACAGTTTTCATCCTGCTGCGCTTTAACACACACAGTGTCATCCATGTCATGAGTTTTGCTTGTCCGCAGCTTGAGGTACAGTTCCCCCCAAACCCCTGCACCTATCTTCTTGAAACTTGGTAGGCTTCATGCTCTCAGAAGAGGCTACCATCCCTACATGTTTCATCCAAATCAGACAAAAAAACAACAAAGTTATAGATATTTTATTGATTCCCCATTATACCCTATGGCTGGATGTCTGAGGCGGCTCTAAAGCTTTTCCGAAGTGGTTTGGAAGCTCCAAACCACTTTGGAAAGCCTAACAAAGCCAGCGCTTTGATCCAGACATGCTGCTTTGGATGCCAAAGTGTCCGAAGCTTCTCCAGATCTGAAGAATGGTCTGAAGCCTCACACAGCCCTAGCAGCCATAGCAATGACCCAAGCTTCACCCAACCACTGCAGTCTACTTATTAGAATTCTGGCACAAGTTGGAAAAAATGTTGGATCTCCGCCCATGATATGATGTGATGGTAGTATCAGCAAACTCATTTTTACTATCCACATTTATCTAAAGATCTCCAGAAGAGACACACTTCAAACACATAAGTCTATTCATGGAGTCTTTAAAACATTTTCATTTGGGACAACAGATTGGACTGAGTTTTGGATCTATTTTTATTGAGCCAGTCTTTAGTTAGAGTCTTGAGTATAGTTCCCATCCATTTATTGGTCCATTATATTTAGTCTGTAAGTAAAAAAGGAGTTTGATACTTTCTCAAACCAGCAACCAGTCTGTAACGTAGCTATAAAAAAACCACGTGAGAATTGTCTCTATTAGGGCCAGAGTTCCAGGACTGCAAATCCAAGTGACTTCATCAGAACCAAGTGTACTCAGCACCATGCAATATTTGTAAGTCAGAAAGGCATTTCAGCATGTGTTTAAAAATGCTGTATGTGCTGAAGTTCTCATTCTGGAAAGTACTTGAGCCCAACTCCTTAGGTGCCTCTTTGTCTCCATTATTCAGCCATTTAGACCGCACTTACATTCCCCATGTCATTGTTTATCTGCTGCTTAATTCCATATGTTTCCACTGGTTAACATACACAAAACCATCTTGCAGCTAAGGAACTTCTTGGAATTCTAGGTTCCAGGAACCCTTACAAGCAGGTTTCTTAAATTAGGTAACAGAACATCATTCTTGCCAGTAGGGCCTGGTCCTTTAGGTGTGTTCTGAGGATGCCTAAGAGGCACCTAACTGGGTAGGTCAGGGGTCTGCATGTCCAATCCCCTGGTGATTACTGTACTCACCTGCTATGGAAGAGACCTGGATTCTAATCTCTGCTCAGGAGCAAAAATTGAAATCCACACCCTTAAATGCTTTTCTCTTCTGGTCCAATGGGGCATATTCAATTTTGAAAAGTGTTCAATTTTCATAATGAAACAAAATCCTGAAATCTTGACTTTTTCCATAAGGAAACCCTGTTTTCTGGCCAGCTCTAGCTTTATCCTCTTTGAGTCGGTTTCCTCATCTCAAAAATTAATTAAAACGTATCAATCCACTTGGTGTATTATGAATTTTTAACGGTTAAAGTTAGTAAGCATCTGGAAGACAAATCACTGCTAAATAGTGTTAATAAGAGCAAATATCCAAATAAAATGTAAAATGTTGGCTTTTGTACTGTTGTTTATGAAGTAAAACAATGTTTAGATTTTCTGTGCTCCTCTTCTCATCTTTCATAACTTGAGGTACTAATCCACTAGTTTCACTTCATGTTTTAAAATAAGACTTCTTTAAAAATAAATAAATATTCATGTTGAAGGCATGAACATTGAATATATTAACACAGTTGGTGGAATAATTGCAAGGTACTTTGCCTTAATTACAGCACAGCAATATGGTGAAGTTAAATATCCATATAATTTTATATTGCTGCCCTTAAGGTCCTTACTTGAAGTCAAACTTTTTTTAAAATAAGATTTAATTTGTAAGTGCTAAAGAAGTAGGGGAAACTGCTTTACTCTAGTTCCTTCACATTTTTCCCCTCATTCTCACTTCTGAAGATTAATATAAACAGATAGACTTTTTTCCCCCTTTCTGGTTAATTATGCTTTAGAGAACTTTGTTCTTTTTTCCCACCTCCAATTCTATTTTAGATCCTAGTCTCATTTTCTCGTATACCACAGTGGTTCATTAAGAAACATTAGGAAATAGCCAACTATTATCTGCCAGCAAATCCTCCCTCTCTTGATGGCTCCCCAGGCGTCGACTCTACTCTTTTTACACTGCATACCTCACCAAGAGACAATTCAAATGACATGTTCCTTTTAAGAATCAAAACAAGTGGAACCTAGGATTTTTTCCTTGTTTGCTATGCAAATATATATTTTAAGGCCTCTACTGGCCTGGTTTTCAGGCTCTGAAAAAGAATAAAATAAAGAATACACAAATTGCAAGTTTCCTTACATGGCCCCTCCCCTGCACCCTAGGACTCAGGTTCAGCCTCCCTGTCCACAACCAGGCATGAAGTGAAACAGATTAATGACCGTCAGGCCCAGAAAGGGTTATCCAAGGACTCATGAAGAATCCTCATAATCAAGATACCTGTAGTCAGTCACATTAATATTACCAAAAGCAAGAGTTCAAAATCCTTTCCTTCCTCACCTATGAAAATCACAAGACTGAGAGATTTTAAGAAACAATAAACTGTGGAGGCATAGGATTGGTCTGCCTATGAATCTGAGTCTTCGGTGGGGATCTGTTCATCTCTTTGTTGAGGACAATAATTACAGTTCAGGTTCAATATCCAAGCTGAAATGCAGATCCAATAAAACTGTCCACTGACAGCTTCCCTCCAAGCGGTCAATCTATCCCTGTCCTTTACCTAATCTTCTCATTACCATCTGCCTTGCCCACTGTCCTGTCCCAGTTCTGTCTACTCTAGGGTTTTCTTGACAGTCTCATGATATTTGGCAATTTCCTTAAACCCCGGCTTCTGCAGTCAAGAAACAGTGTGAAAACCCCAAGTTATACTAAAAAAACATAAACAAGTTTCCAGCCCTCGTGGTTATGAAGAAAAGTTTAAAAACTGGAACCAAGTACAGGCTGAGAAACCCAAAAACAAAGAAGAGGAATGGGTCTGATTTGGGGGGCTTGACTGATGATTTTAGAAGACTTGAAAATAAAAACGATCAAATGGCCGTACAAAATGTGTGGACAGGTGAAACAGCTATAGCAGTGCTTCATGAACTTCTGATACTTATGACACACTGCTTGTTTTTTGGATTAAAATTGGTGGCATACTTTACTCATACCCAAAAAGTTGCATATATGCAGTGGTGCCAGCCTTTTGGCCCCATAGGCCTAATCCTGCCACATGGGGAAGGCTGAGCCAGGACCCAATTCTATGATCCAGGATTTGGAAATTTAGCAGCAGGGGAGCAGTGGCAATTAATATCTGGACCTGCAGGGAGCCCTAAGGACATGGCTTCAAGGGCTGTATCTAATACTGAAAAAAAATACTGGTATTTTTTGTAGCATACTTCTGCCAACCTTGCAGCATACTAGTGTGTGACAACACACCTTTTGGAAATCACTGAGTTTGACCGTGTCAGGTGGGTGGGCAGAAGGACATAAGCAGGCCAAATGTATCAGAGTAACTGCTGCATTCACCCTTTTAAAAAAAAAATCTTCCCACCTCCTCTTCCAGGAGATGACAGTTTTTTCATCTACTTGCAATGTCTGGATGTAACTTTTTAAAAAGTAGTTCAGTATCTTCTTTCTTGTTTATTGGGTTATTAAGCCCATTAACATTCCAGGAGACTATTTCAAAGTACTATTAGTCTACATTATTTGGTAGAATTAAGGGAAGGTCTATTAAAACCAAGGTTTTCCTTATTTCCTTTAATTCTCTGAGGTGAACTCATACCAAGAAATAGAGGATGCCTTTATCCAATTGACTGTGTCAGTGAAGCAAGGAGAAGAGGATTAAGGGTAGATTTTCAAATCTCAGTAAAAAGTGGAGAGAGGACATCCTGGTCTTTTCCTTCCCACTGGGGATAAAGGAAATACAGGGAGTAAACGTACATGCCAAATCTAAGTTTGTTCTTTTGCCCTTTTTATTCCTCATACTCCTTGCTACTTTTAAAGCATATTCCTGTTTACATGAATCCCAAATAAAAAGAATCAGGATATAAGTCAAATAAATTAGACTATTCTAACATACCGCAAATACCAACAAAAAACTGTAGCATCAATTAAGCAAGACTGGCATGCCAGTCAGTTCACCAGTTCCCCCCATCTACCTGCCATTAGAGACAAATAAAGTGGAAGAAAATTTATACTGCCACATCTAGGAAGTCCAATCATGAACTGCATTTCTGTAGGGCTGTAAGCAGAGAACAAAAGATGAACTGTAATCCCAGAGCTCAATCAAATGCTTCACACTTCATTTGCCAATGAATTCTCCACTAACCCTTCCTTGTGACATATTTGATGGATTTTAATTATACATATATGGCACATCTACATGAAATGCTATGTTGCCGTAGTGATGAGCTACATCGCCGTAGCTCCTTGCTATGGCGATGTTATGTTGGCAGGCATGAACCATGACACTGATACTACTGTACAATAGCAATGAGCTACTACACAGTAGCATCAGAAACAACCTGTGTAGCATCAGAACTTCTCAGTAATGTCGTTTACTCCAGTCACTTAGTCCTTGCTTAAGCGCAGTAACAACTGTGCAGTACAGTGCACGTGCAGATGCCCCCTGTACAGTTATTGTAATATCTCATTTATGTGAGTGATATTGGGCAGAGAAGAGGAAAAATATTTTTCACACTCCTCCAAACACAGAGGAATGTATTACTATAAACTGAACACTCACTTTAATACAGCATCTGTCTACATTTGTTTTATACCTTTTTTAAAACAAGAGAACAGGACATGCATACAGCTCAGCTCCATGACTCTTACCTGATACATCTTTGCACTGAAAATCTGCTGGGCTTCTGCATTCATTATTTAGATCCATCTTGAGGTTCTAAAAGATCGAACAATGTTATTGCATCTTTTTGATTACTGAAAATTGAAATTTAGTTCCTAGTGGTCTTGCAGGACAGCTGAGAGCTAATGATATGCTCTCCCCCTGACCCACTTCCCAATTTTCACTTTGCTGGGAAACATGCGATTATTTTCCGAGTGGTAGAACAGACATCAGGGAAGAATATTTTAATTCCTTTTTTAAATTATTTTAGTTCATTGCTCTAGATAGTTTTAAGACTTCATTTACATAGCCTGCACAAAAGTTGAGGAGGAAGAGTTTGAAGGAGATACCAAGAAGTTAGTCCAAGCATATATGGATAAACAGGAGCTGCACTTGCATCTGCTCTATTAAGAGTTCTTATAATAAAAACATGCTTAAGTTTTGCAGGTCCTTTCATGTTAGTACCCAGCAGGTGCTACACAAGCAATTTATTTGTCTTAGAATTTTACTGTTGCTGCTTCTGGTGGTTTTTCAACAGAAGGCTTTGAGAAAGTGTTTCACTGAACTTCTCCTGGCCCTGATTCAGCAAGCTAAGCACAACTTCAAACTCTTCCTCCTTCAACCTGGACTCATTACTCCAAACTAAACACACAGCTATCCACTTCGCTGAATTAAGGTTTCTATTCCAATATCAGATGCAGTGAGCTCTACTGCATATATTTTAACAATCCTCTATTTCAGAAAACCTTCCTCTTCCTCCCAACCAAAACTTTTATCTCTTTATTCCCTACATCCTCCAGATCTTCCCCCACTTGGATCCTTCCCTCCTCATATTTTCTTCTTAAAATCTCAGTGGACTGCATGAGATTCACTGCACACTGGAACAATAGGTTAATCCTCACAAAGAATGGTAATTTTGCAGGTTTTTCTTCCCAGATCCCAAGAATAGTACACAATCTATAATGATGCCATGATTTGCAGCACAGTAATCAAAGTGCAAGTTAGGAATCAGCAGCCAGATTCAATACCTCCTACTGGCATCTAAGCAGAGTCAGTTAGGCACCTAAGTCTATTCCATTCTGTTCATGTCCGGAAAATCTATGAATGCATCTAGTTTTGTAACACACTTGCTTCTTAAAAGTGAGTAATAAAAAAGCAATGAGGAGGACCACCTACCATTTGCATTAACTGGTTTTCAGGAACTTGAACAGGGTGGGATAGAATTGCATTTAGGTCCCTAATTCCACTTACATTCTTAAGGGTGGAGTGAAATCTGGCCCTCCAGTCTGTATTTGTCTTCTGTGGATCTATCATTGGAGGTTTCCAAGAGCCTGAATAGGCAACATCTGTATGGGATGGCTTAAGAAAACTACTGCACAGGTTCAGATTAGATGTCCCTAGTCATAGATGTCCTTGAATTCCATCATTGGAGGTTTTCAGACTTTGTTGGCTGCCATGGCCCTTTTCAAGGGGCCTAGGCCAAGCTGCAGAACTATGGCTAAACAGAAGGCCCCAAAGCCTGTTTTTAAGTGACCGTAGTTTGAACCTTTGCAGATGTGACAACTAGCCTGGTCAGCAAAGTAAAGGAAGTAATCGAACACAATAAATCAAAGCAAAAGCATGAAAGGAAATAAAGGAAGATCATACATTAAATAACCCAAATACACCATATTATAGTTTAATTTTAAAATAGTAGTAGTAGTGATTGATATAACCAAATGTATTAGACATTATTTTGCTATAATAAAAATATTTTTGTTAAGGTGTTTAGATAATTTGTAAAAACAAAAACAGCCTTGTCAGACACTGAAGTAAAGCAGAAACAGGTCAGTATTGAGCAGCACTCCACAATGGGGAAGGAAAGGAAATAAGAACACCCCCCCCCCACCCACCACCACCACCACCACCACTCTTTCTTTCCCACGGACATAGACATCATCATCATCATAGACATTAGTAGGAGTAGGGCTGGAAGGGACCTCGGAAGATCATCGAGTCAAGCCCCCCGCCCAAAGGGCAGGAAGTCAGCTGGGGTCATAGGATCCCAGCAAGATAAGCATCCAGTTTCATCTTGAAGGTGTTCAATGAAGGCGCTTGAACCACCTCCAGTGGCAGGCTGTTCCAGACCTTGGGGGCTCGGACAGTAAAGAAGTTCTTCCTTATGTCCAGCCTGAAACGATCTTGAAGTAGTTTGTGACCATTCGACCTCGTCATCCCTTGGGGCGCTCTGGTGAACAAACGTTCCCCCAGATGCTGGTGGTCACCCCTGATAAACTTGTAGGTGGCCATCAGATCACCCCTGAGCCTGCGCTTTTTCAGGCTAAAGAGCCCCAGGGCTGTCAGCCTGTCATCGTAGGGTCTGCTTCCCTGACCTCTGATCATGCACATGGCTCTTCTCTGGACTCTCTCAAGCTTCTCCACATCCTTTTTGAATTGTGGAGCCCAAAACTGGACACAGTACTCCAGCTGCGGCCTCACTAAGGCCGAGTACAGGAGGAGAATGACGTCCCGGGATTTGCTTGAGAAGCATCTATGGATGCAAGCCAGCGTTTTGGTTGCTGGCTTGCAAAAAGCCCAACTAATTGACACCTTCCAAGTCCATAAGAGATCTGGTTCAGTCCAGTTCCAAAAGTTTCAGTGAAACAAGGAAATTTAAAGAAACTAAGCAGAGATCATTTATTAGAATATTAGAACCAGCCATCTATAAATATTGGGCACAGGCTGGAGAGAAATTGGGAGAACTCAGCAAATTCAAGAAGACCTGCTACCAATCTGTGTGCCACCCTCCTCCCACCTCTCGAGTCTCTTCAGCTGGTATGGGTGAAAATCAGTTGTGCTGTCATGGGTTGCCAGACATACTTTGAGTCAAATGTTTGTTTTTATGTTTTAAAGAGAAATGAAACAAAAGGTTGGGCCGTAGACCTGTTTCTGCCTCTTTTATCAGTAGCCTACCCACAAGGTATCTGTAATCTGGCTAACAATATGCTTGCTGTTCCTAATTCAGGTACTAACTGCGGTTTCCTCACAGGCTGCCAGGACCTGCCTTTTCATCTATCCACAAGTACATGTGAAAAAGGGTCTGTATAGGGACAAAAGTGGCTCCTTATCTTCTAATTTTAAGCAGAATTTATTCACCTGTAAAAATTATAAATAAATATTCACACTTTCAGGTATATTGCACATGTAAATCATGTATCTGTTATCAGGCACAGGACAGGCATTGCTACCAGCATTATTCAGGAACTAAACCATACTGTATTCTCAGTGAAAGTATCCTCTTTTCTTTGCTGCACCCTTTCTGAAGCAACCCTGTAAACTCAAAGAGTGTGAACGAGTAAAGCAAGTTGCATGGGAGTTTAAGAAATGAACAGGACTGAGTTCTCAAATGGCAAGTACCACTGAAAGATTTGTTCATCATTGATGCAGATCACTGGTAGCCATCATTCTGCAATACCGATAGGAACACAACAATTAGTGACCCTTCACAGAGTTCAGACACTTTATTTTGGACAGCTTCTTACTGTATTTTGCACCATACCTGCGTTCAGAAGCAGTGCTGAAATAGGTGGCAGCTCAGGCTGGTG